AACAGATGTCAATATATGTACCAAATATAAGACATAGGCTTTTAAAATGTACAACAAGGTTCAACAGAAGTCAATATATGTACCAAATATAAGACATAGGCTTTTAAAATGTACAACAAGGTTCAACAGAAGTCAATATATGTACCAAACATAAGACACAGACTTTTAGAATGTACAACAATGTTCAACAGAAGTCAATATATGTACCAAACATAAGACACATGCTTTTACAATGTACAACAAGGTTCAACAGAAGTCAATATATGTACCAAACATAAGACACAGACTTTTAGAATGTACAACAATGTTCAACAGAAGTCAATATATGTACCAAATATAAGACATAGGCTTTTAAAATGTACAACAATGTTCAACAGAATTCAATATATGTACCAAACATAAGACACAGGCTTTTAGAATGTACAACAAGGTTCAACAGAAGTCAATATATGTACCAAATATAAGACATAGGCTTTTAAAATGTACAACAAGGTTCAACTGAAGTCAATATATGTACCAACAATAAGACATAGGCTTTTACAATGTACAACAATGTTCAACAGAATTCAATATATGTACCAAACATAAGACATAGGCTTTCAAAATGTACAACAAGGTTCAACTGAAGTCAATATATGTACCAACAATAAGACATAGGCTTTTACAATGTACAACAATGTTCAACAGAATTCAATATATGTACCAACAATAAGACATAGGCTTTTACAATGTACAACAAGGTTCAACAGAATTCAATATATGTACCAACAATAAGACATAGGCTTTTACAATGTACAACAATGTTCAACAGAATTCAATATATGTACCAACAATAAGACATAGGCTTTTACAATGTACAACAAGGTTCAACAGAATTCAATATATGTACCAAACATAAGACATAGGCTTTTACAATGTACAACAAGGTTCAACAGAATTCAATATAAGACACAGACTTTTAGAATGTACAACAATGTTCAACAGAAGTCAATATATGTACCAAATATAAGACATAGGCTTTTAAAATGTAACAAGGTTCAACAGAAGTATTACTGATCACAATAAAGTTCCGTAATGCAGAACAAATATTTATTTTGATTCCACCAAAAAATTCTTAAAATAAAAAGATTACATACACAGAATAAAACTGAAAATTTTAAACCACATATACATTCATCCACTGTTTAATTACATAAAATACAAGAATAATTTGGCATACAGTAAATTTTCCTAATATAGAAATTACAAGCATATTGCTCCTGCTATAAAACCTAATTTTAAATGTATACATAAACTGATTAGTCAAACTATAAAACACAGTCACTTGTGCTAAAATACATACATACATACACACAAATAATCCTACAACAAAGTTAATGTTGTAAAAATCACTCATAACTAATGCTACAATGTTACTAATGTAAAACTCGCAACTATCCCTACAACAACGTTCCTATTGTAAAATTAGCACAACTAATCCTACAACAATGTTACTAATGTAAAACTCAAACATAACTAATCCTACAACAAAATCACATTTGCAGAACTCAATTCTGTATGACTGGTTTCACTACTTTGCATCATCCAAGAACTAACTATAACGCCACAAAACAGTAACTGTCCCTGTGGGTAAACGTATTAATTCACGTAATGAAGGTTACAGTAAACTTACACTTGTGAAACCTTGCCACGTAAACCATACCTATAAGTACTACAAGGCTGTTTTATTTAATGACTCAGGATAATCTAGTTGTTTATTAAAAAGCAGTTAACTTTCACACTTCATGATTTATACGATATATGATGGTCAAAGAAACTTCGATAGAAGTAACTCATAGGAATAGAAATCACAAACACACAACTCCTTATTTGATCCTGTAACAATGGCTAATTCAGTCTCTTACCTTTTAATTAGTGAGCTATGTACTTTTAAGTTAATTATTAAAGCATAAGCTGTGACTAAGAATGGTGATATGTAACTTGAACAGTGTATGTACATCATACAGTCTAATGGTCAGAATCCTACTAGATCCTATATAAGAGCTGGAAAGTGGTGTCCAGTTATACATTGACCCATCCTTGCCTGCTTGTATGTAGTTTGTAAATAAATGGATGTTGTTCTTATTCTGCTTGACTTTATATTACTGTTGGAAATAATTATTTGTACAAGAAACAAACAAACAAAACACCATAACTATGAGCCAAAAAGAAAATGATTTAGTTGGAAAAACGTTTTCCCCATCTTACAACATACTTACTTTTTGAAAAACTAATATAATTAACCCTATAAGAAATTTACTGTTGTAAAATTCACACACAACTAATCTTACAACAAAATTACTGTTGTAAAACACACTAATATAATTAATACTACTACAAATTTACATATTCTAAAATACACACACACATTAATCCAACATAACTTATATATTGTGAAACAGTCACATATTAACCCTACAACAACAACAGTTACTTAATATATCTCATAGACATACTGATTCCATAAAATGGAATCTAATACAAAACACAAATCCTGTAACACGCTTATCCATATAAACCACACACCATGCTGACCCAATAAAAAAGCCAACTTTTATACAAAACTACAGAAATATAAACTTCCAACAACGTTCCTT